GAGAATCAAAGCCATAATAGCTGATTTGTCTCTTTATCTTTCCCATTCTGTTTCTTCTCTCTTCTGGCCATCATCTGGAGCAAGGAAGGGCAGTGAAGAGGGCAAGAAATCTGTCCTCCTGTAGCTGAGACATCTCTTGATGTCACTGTTGTGTCTGACGCTAGTTTTGTAGTGTTCCGTGATGACTACACATTAGAGAGGATTCAGGCAAGGCAAGAAGGGAAGACAGGAGAAGGTGGTCACTGCTACTTTGTTTATTCAGATGCTTCGCTGAAAAACATGTTGATTTAAAAAATAAATAGGCAGCTTAGCCCCCAGTTCTGGTAAGAGTCTGATCTTTAAAATGGAATTTAGAGCTCCAGAAATATGGGACAGGCCAAATCCTCCAGCCAGATCCAGCACACTGCATGGCACTTCTTTGTCTCCGAAATGTGCAGCACAAACCTACTTTCACCAGCAGGAAATCTTCCCCATTCAGAAATGCTCAGAGAGGATTTTCAAAGTCCCTACTGCACAGGAAAAGAAAAGGCCATTCTCCCTCTGATACAGAGCACTCAACCCTCTGGTTCGACCTCAGAACCCAAAGCAAGATACTGGCAGTGTTCTGTCAGAGAACACATGGTAAATGGAAACTGGTTCTGTCTTGTGCCCTGATCTGAAGTGCAGAGATGGACCAGACACCTCCTCCTCCTGGAACACAGTGAAGCAGAAATCCATATGCAAGAGGGTATCTACTGGCCTCCATATGAAGGGGTCCTTGCAGAGACATCCCAGCTGTGCCTTTGTTGGGCAGCCGTGTGAAGCAGCTTTCCTCCCTTTGAATCTCCCACTCCCCTCCTGGGTCTCTTCTCCCTCCACTCTGCTGAAAAGTCATTCCACAATTTACCAGGGTTTGCTGAAAGCCCCATGGTTCAAAACCTAATCATCGGGGACAGCCCAGGAGCAGAAAGGCTAATGAGATGGAAATCAGCTGATTCCAGCAATAATACAGTATCAGCTAGATTTTCTCTTTCTTTTAATTTAAGCCTCTTTTATCTCCCTTTGGGATTTGGGAGTGACCTCATCCCCTCCCCAGTAGGTACCTTCCTCATGGACCATTACTCAGACACAAAGCACTAAATGCCTTTTCATCCCAGGGAAGTAACTGGGGAAAGTCAGCAATCCAAGCACCATCATCGTTTTATTTCACATGATGGCAAGTCAAAAGGAGGTCAGGGGGAAGATATTAACTACCCATCTAATTATGGCCAGTAAAGAGAAGCTCCCTTCCATTTAAAGTGGTGATCACACAAGAAGGGGGAGAGTGAAAAAGCCCAAGGCAGAGGTCTTATAACAGGGAATATTTCCAAAAGAAATTAGCATTTGACTTCACAAGGCTGCTGGCTCCATCACAGCCCATCTGTTGCAGTGGGAATCCTTCCCCTCAGCCCTGCTTTGCACTGGGGCAGCAAATGAATCAACGGTGGATAAGAGCCCAAGTTAACTCTGCAGTGGTGGCATACCTTCCTTTATATTTTCCCCACTTCTTTTTTTCCCCTCTCTCTTTTTGTCTTGCTAAATTCCTGAGTTTTATATGCATGGTTTTACTCAGTTGTGTACACTGCTCGGCAGGGCCGCACTCATTGTAGCAGTGGAATTCAAGATGCTGCTTCTGATCCAGAAAGCCTGCTGTGGTTTGGGACCTGCTCTGATCCCCTGCACCAGTGCTGTGGCTGAGATACTTGAGGTGCTTTAGCTATAGTTTTCCCAGTGTGCACTTTGGGATACTATTGGAGGCAGGAGGGTTTTTTATGTGATGTGCCACGTTCTGGAATTCAGCCCATCAAAGCCTGAGCTTCATTGTGCAGTGCAAGGCACATTGCTTTGGTCAAGCATTTGCCTGGCTGGATAATTGCTGGTTCTTTTTATGGCTGGTATGGGCCAGTGCAGAAGGAAAGGGGTTCATTGTACTGTGAGACTAACTGCAGCATCATGCTGAGTTAGGTCATGCTGTGGGCAGATGTTTTGGTGATGGGCGTAGAGGAAGTTCAATCAATCAATTAGTTTTAGGGCTGCTGTGTATTGTGCATAGTGTGTCTGTTCTCAGTGCTTGTGTATATATCGTGTGCCAGTGTTATGGATTCCAAAATGATGGTGGAAGCTGCTTTGCAGCCCCTTGCCTTCACACAGCTTCTGGAAAGGTGCTTTAATGGGATTACAGTGGAAATGTTTTTGTTGGCAACATGCTGAGAGCTCTCCCCAAGTTGGTCTGACACATCCCCAGTAGGTCCCCAAGTAGCTCTCCTAATCACACTAAACTTCTGCAGATTGATCCTCATACAGTTATGAAACCTATTAGCAGCTCCTAATATCCTAAGCAAGTCAAACAGGTAGAGCAAAGGATTTGTCTCTAGGAAAAGAAAGGGGAAGGAGGTAACACTGAGAAGTCAATGGCCAGTAGCAGGAATTTCCCACGTTCAATCAGATTCTGAGGAATCCCTATACTGAGTTTCAGGAGAGGACTCACTAGGGAGCCCAAACTCCTAGCCCCAAATCCAAAAGAGGGGATCTTTGGGCTTCTCTCATTTACTTTCTGCCCCCTTTAAGGTGGGGTTTAGCTTGCTTTTATTGGTAACACAGGCCAGAGCTGGTGCTTTTGGCAGTAATTTGGCCCCACATGTCTCTGCCTTTCCCAGAGGGCTGGATTCTCCCTGCTGGTGAGGCTTAGTGAGATGGTCTCTATGTTTTTGATTGACTCGTATATTTGGATAGTCCTGCTGTTTAAACTGGGGGTGGGTATTGCCACTGAGCTCCACTGTAGGTAACCTGGAGACTGGGGTCACAGCAGAAGGAAGGGGGTGCCCAGGTCTCTAGTCCTCACTAGATCCAAGGGGGGGGGAATGTATAAATACAATGTATTTTTAAAACATCTTTCAAACAAAAAATAAACAGCCTCAAAAAGAAAGGAAGGCAGAAGTTGGGCTCCAAGATCTGCCCCCAGAAATAAAGATCCACTCAAGGTATGGCACTAATAATTGCCAACCGGTTGTATTGTTGAGCTATTTCCTCCTATTTAATATGCAAAGAAATGCCCAGGGGTTTGATTTGTTGCTCACTGCCCCCTCCCTTGTATTTTTGTCCACCTCCACAGTTCGGCCGATTGTGGCTCCCAGTGGCTGCGGTTCGCTGCTCCAGGCCAATGGGAGCTGCTGGAAGCAGCGGCCAGTACGTCCCTCGGCCCGCGCCGCTGAAGCAGCAAACCGCGGCCACTGGGAGACACGATCAGCCGGACCTGTGGACGCGGCAGGTACACAAACCGGCTCGCCAGGGGCTTTCCCTGCACAAGCAGCGGAACAAGTTTGGGAACCACTGAGCTATTTTACAATATCTGGCCCACAATGGACACATGTGACAAGGTGTGGGTCAGAGGAAGTGGGGGCAGGAGAGAAGGATAGGACAGAAGGCCTGAAAACACAAAGCAAGTACTTGTGTAGGGTTACAGGATCATTTTATCCTACAGAACAAAGGGCCAAGAAGAGCAACCCTTGACTTTGTGCCCTATTGCCACTGGCTCTGATGTTCACACCAACTGTTAAACCATGACATAATGCTGTTTCCATCATTTCTAAACTTATTCCAGACCTATGATGATGTCAGCACTGGAATAAAACACTCAGAGACAACAGTGCCCACTGGATTATTAAGAACGCAATGGAACACAGGGCTGGGGGCTAGGAACTGCCAGAGTTCAGTTCCCATTCACAATCAAATACCTCAAGGAGACGCCATCAACTTGAAATTCAATCACTTAAAAAAATTTACAAGTAGTTTCAACCCTGCCTGAGATAATTTGTAAAGCCACCTCTTGGTTCTTCTCCTTCAAATCCCTCAAGGCTTGACCTCAGGAAATGCACCCGTTAATCATGGCTCGATTGAGGGACAGGTAGGGAGAGCAGATATTCTTTATTTATGAGCAAACACATATTTAAAGTATTCAGAACCATCAAGCTGGGCACATAGTAACCTGGAGTTCTTGTTATTATCATCCTCACTTTTCCTTCCCTTCTACTTCTTGCATCTTGTTGAGACTGTAACCAGTAACTTCGGGATAAGGAAGTTGTGTGTGTGTCCCCCTACCAATGCCCAAACAATAAATATTAACTCAGCTCCTGCATCTGCTGCTGAACTCCCCTGCCAATCTCAGAGGTTTTACTATTTTTGTAAACCATTTTTCTCAGCAAAGTCCCACTCAAACTAGAAAAGGAAGGCCCAGATGCCAACCCCCATTGGTTTCAACTATTTAAATGGATTCAGATGATTTCAAGGACCTCTGAGGATCTGACCCTAATTGACTGCAGGGGAAGGTGGAAAACTGAAGATTCACAAAGTGCTGTCAAGTCAATTAACTCAAAAATTCGGCTTTCCCCCCCTCTAATCTGTCACCTCTAGGAGGTGTAATTTAGAACTACCCTAGGTAAAGCAAATCACCCAGAATGTGAATACAATGTAAATCGGCAGCAGCAATTTAACTCGGTTGTCTCCCTCTTCCTATCTGCAACAGGGACATACTAATATGTAATCGTCTCCCCTTCGAGGCAGCTCAGTAATCCTAAATATTTGTACACTGTTTGCAAATGCAAGGCGCTGTGGATATGCTAAACCGTGGCTGGCAGCGGCCGCGCTGGCTGGCTCTTCTACCTGTGCACTGAACAGGAAGAGGCCGCCACGCTCCGGCTGTTCGCACGCCTTGGTCAATCCCATGGGTGGTTTGCAAGCCAGGAGGTTTAAGGGTTTGAAGCAGCGGTGTAACGTTACTGGCCTTTGCTCTAATCGGCCGGGGGTTGTTCAAGAGCCGCCTGGGAGCGGGGACCGGGCAGTGCAACGGGGGCTCCCCTTGGTTTTGGGGACGAACCCCTCGTGAGCTCCTAGAGGGACAGCGCCCCCAGTTGATTGCCTTGATTCACAGCAATTCACATGCAGATAAACCGGAGCCGCCTAGTTCTCATTTCAAAGCGCCTCTTCAAAGGGGCAGCCTGCTCCTCGCTACTCCCCGGGGAAGTGGAGATTGACACAGTCTCAACACCTCTGAGAACTGCCTGAACTATTTGTCTGACGCTATTTAAATGCGGAGGGGGGTGTTAATGCAAATAGGCCTGGCCAGGGAGAGACCCCTCTGCGAGATCAGCGCCGTGCACTGCCGTGAGATCCTGGGCCAGCCCGCAGGAGAGCGGCCCCCAAGGGGCAGCGTTGGGGAAGGCTGGCTCTGGGCACAGCCAAGGAGCCCCAACCCCTGATGCGCCAGGAAAAGGGAGTGTCCGCGAGTCAGTCCCCAGGCTCTGCGCCCCCTCAAATCCCCCAGCCGGGCTCTGCATCGCCCCCCCCCACATCCGCCAGCCGGGCTCTGCGCCCCCCAACCCCACCCGGGCCGGGCACTGCGCCCCCCAACTCCGCTTCGCGCCGGGCTCTGCGCCCCCCGGTTCCCCTGGGCCGGCCCGGGGTGGCGAAGGCGCGGGCACTGCCGCTGACTCGGGGTAGCTACGGGCAGCCCCGGGACACCTGGCCGGGCCCTGGGGCGGGGGCTCGGCGGCCTTTCCGGGGGAGGGGCGGGTTGTGTGGCTTTGACACGAAGCTGCGAACGGCCCCGCGTGTCCGGCCGGGAGCGGAGCCGCCGTGTGAATTGCACCCGAAACTCCCATTGTCCGTCCCCCCGGGGGGTGCCGCGCCCGGGCGCTTTAAGAGCCGGGGGCTGCCGGCCGCCCCCCAGCCCTGCTCCCGGACTCGCCTCGCTCCTCTCCTGAGCGCCGCCTGCTCCTACGATGGGCTCGAGCTTCCCTGCCCCGCTGCGGCTCACCCTGGCGCTGCTCTGGCAGCTGGGACTCTCGGCGGCGATCCAGTGGCTGTGAGTAGCTCCTCAGGGCAGAGGGGTGGGGGCGCCGGGCTGCAGCCCATGGCAGCGCATCCCTCCCCCGGCAGCTGAGAGATACCCTGCCCGGGGCTCCCCAGCTCAGCTGGAAAATCCCTATTCCCTAAACTGCTGCTTGGGGACAGGGCAGGCTCGGCCACCCTCCAGGGGAGCTGAGAAGCTGAGCTGGCGGGGAGCTGGCTCCCTTTCTCTGTCCTCTGCTATCTAGGCAGTCCAGCCTGGGATAGGGACACTTTCTGGCCACGCTGCAGCTCCTTGCACAGGCTGTGTGCCATTGTTCCCCTGCTGGATTTTAAACTCTACACAGCCATCCCTTCCAAGCCCTTTCCCCTTCTGGCCAACTAGTCACTACCTGCCTTGGGGCTAGCATGGAAGGATTTTCAGTCTTGCTTTTTAAGTGGGTGGCATCTCAAATCAGACTGACATTTGCCCCTCAGGATACAAGTGTTAGCTGGTCTTTATAACTGCTTAGATCCACTGAGTTCACACATAGCAATAATGGGTCACATGCAGCCTTGGGTGGGTGGAAGCATCCATTTGCTCCAGTTTGGCCCTTTGTGTATATAGAATAAATAAACATACACACATATGTGGCAGTTTATAGCCCAATTTGCAGATGTTCTGGGCACCAACACTATTTTAAATCAACAGAAGCTGTGGCTGCTCATCCCTCTGGAAATCAGGCCCCGTGTGTCTATGTAACAAAAGTGTGTGCTAGATGTATATGTTTTAAACCCCACATGCTGTTCACACATATTCCCTACAGTAGGGAATGCCTCTAAGGGTGGAGTGCCACCAGGACAACTCACAGCGCTGACGGCAGCAGCACGGACCAGCTTCCCAAGTGCACTGCCCTACAATGTACCTCAATCTGGATCTGGAGAGGGTGGCTCTAGGCACAGAGGGGAGTTTAGCTGTCAGGTCTATTCAGTCCAGGTGCCTCTGCTGAGGATACCAACAAAGGGATGCAATTAGTACCAGCTATGTTTGTTTTAACAATGTTGATACCAGGCCTGAGGCCCACCAGCTCTTTTCATGTGGGGGACCGCTGAACAGCTGTCACTGATTTGGACTATAACCAGATTCCTGATCTAGAGGTGAAAGGCCCCGTATCCAGTTACCAGTACTCAACACATGGCTCGTCTCTCACCCCCAGTAACATCTCTGGTCACAACAAGAGTGGGCTGGACTGGATTCTCTATCCCTGTCTCACTTGTTTATGGTAATTCCTCTTTCATGACAGAGGGCTGATGGTGAATGGCAGCAAGGTAGCCTGGAACGAGACTCAGCACTGTAAGATTTTGGATGGGCTAGTCCCAGACCAGTTGCAGCTGTGCCGAAGAAACCTGGAGCTCATGCATAGCATTGTACATGCAGCCAAAGAGACCAAGGGAGTCTGCCAGAAAACGTTCTCGGATATGAGGTGGAACTGCTCTTCCATTGAGTATGCACCCAGTTTCACCCCTGACCTCCTGAAAGGTAAAGGAAGCTCTGCTAGATCATCTGGCATTTCTATACTCTGCTTGTCTAGGCACTGTATTTTCATTCTCCTGCAGTCCTTTCACATGCAAAATTCCCATTGTAGTCAATGGGCCATATTCTGATGTTGGATACTCTGGAGTAACCATATTGGAGTCACTATAGATACAGAAGTTACAGCAGTGTAAATGAGATCAGAATCTGGCCTGGAGCCTGCAAAGAGACTGCAGGATGCAGTCTCAGAGCTAGCTCTCTGTCTGGGTGACATTAACTTCCACATAAAAAAAGAACAATTGCTAGAGACCCCCAGACAAGAAGGGGAGAGTTAATCCCAGGGAAAAGTGAAGAACAGAACAAAACAGGGTGAAAAAAGATAGCACAAAGAATAGAATCAGAATGGGATGCTGATGGGCGGGGGCACAAAGGAAGTATATTTTCTTACACCTGTTTTTGTCCAATTGCTATTGCCTCAGTAGGAATTTTGCATTCTTGCTCCTGTGAAAGGAATTACTGGCTAGAGGGAAAGAAGGTAGCTTTTTGGAAGGTACTGAGAGGGCCCTATCTCCCTAATCTAATAGGGCTCTGGCCCTAATGGCTGGGGTGGGGGAGGGTGCTACTATAATAGAAATAATACATCTGTCAGAGGAGATGTACTTGAGCGGTTAAAGTACATCACTGAGTAAACCATCCTGGGTTCTGTTTCTGGAGCTGCTGCTGTTTTGCTGTGTGACTTTAGCAAGTTGCTCTAATTCCCTGTACTTCATTTTCCCTTTCTGTGAAATGGGGGAGAATAATGCTGACCTACACCACAGTTTTGTGAAGAGTTTGTGAGATTTCACTAGAGAGAGCGCGTGTGCATGCTCTGAGATCCTTGGGTGAAGAGAGCTGTAGAGAACCAGGGTACTAATTGTAAATAGCACTGCTCTCTCAAAGGACCCATGTAGTGAGGCTGAGGAGAGCGAGCCACTGCTCACTCTGAAGCCCAAATCAGTGTTGCCTGAAGCATCAGCCAAAAGGAAATGCTTCCCTCATGCCCCCTCATCCCAGGTCCTGAATTCTGATTGCTGTTGTGCTGCCGCTATCACCGTGCTGAGATCCTTGTGAAACGTACAGTTAGCATCAAATGAATGAGAGGTGGGGATGATTCTGAAGAGTACATGGTGATTTTCTCTGTATGAAGAAAGCTCTGTGGCACTAGGAATCACGTTGGTATGTCTGGGATTCAGGACTCTCTGGGATTCTTCCTTTTTCTTTATAGGGACCAGGGAATCTGCATTTGTCTATGCATTGGCTGCTGCTGCTGTCAGCCATTCCATCGCTCGGGCCTGTGCCTCAGGGGAACTACCTATCTGTTCCTGTGGATCTGTCCCATCTGAGGTGCCTGGGCCTGGCTTCAGGTGGGGTGGCTGTGGGGACAATCTCCGCTATGGCCTCCAGATGGGTTCTGCCTTTGCTGATGGTCCCATGAAGTCCAGTAAGGCAGGAGGACAAGCCACCAGGCTTATGAATCTACATAACAATGCAGTGGGCCGACAGGTGGGTATAGTCACTGGCCACAAAAATTGGCAAGACAGCCACAACCAGGGCACCTCCTTTAAGAAATAACTGGTTATTCTGGCTGAGTTGCGGAGGAGGGCTGCAGCCTCTTGCCAGATTGTTGGGAGACCACGCATGAATACATTGGAGAGGCAATCGATGGGCTAAAGTAACTTTATAATGACCCATGCACACAAATACATGCCTTACAGAAACCAGGCAGAGTCCCTGTCTTGCTAACCTCCAGGGAGATAATTGCTGGCTATTTATATCTTCCCAGTGATACACTGAGACCCATCCTAGCTTTGAACCTGCTTTACCCCAGGAATTAATCTGCTATACTAAGAACTGCATGTTTTTCTGTATGTCTCTGCAGACCTCCACTCCTGGTAGCTAATGGACCTGTGGTGATCAAACTAACCCAACCAGTGGCCTTGCTGACAATTTGCCAAGAGCCCACAGCTGGCACCTAATATGCAAAAATGGAGCAAATAGCAGCTACCCCTCCTGCTTAATACTATGGAGGGATGGCATGCAGAGACTACAGGTCTCCATACGTAGCCAGGCTATTTGGAGCAAGATGGGAAACATCCCACAGCACACCCCTGAATTAATGAGGGGAAACTTCAGGCCCCATTGCAAACTTATGGATGGCACTTGTCCCAAGGACTACCCTCTTGTTACAGGGATAGTAAAGCATAGTAAATGAGCCCTTGGATTCCCTGTTAGTCTTGATGCAGGATTTCATGTTTGGCAACACAGGAAAGCATCCCCCATAGGTACTAAGTGAGATAAGGCCTCCTGGGTGCCAATGACTGGCCATGTTTTCTCATATCCTGAAGCCTCCTGTGGATGCTCTTCAGAGATCTTCTTGGGATGTATGGGCTGTGTCAGGGAAGGATGAATCCCAGCCTTGGGTTCCTTACTGATGTTATTTCTTTCCAGGTATTGATTGACTCCTTGGAGACCAAGTGTAAATGCCATGGTGTTTCTGGCTCCTGCTCAGTTAAGACTTGTTGGAAGGGGCTGCAAGATTTGAGTGAAATAGCCATTGACCTCAAATCCAAGTACTTGGCAGCCATCAAGGTGACCCACCGGCACATGGGGACCAGAAAGCAGCTGGTGCCCAAAGAACTGGACATCAGGCCAGTGAGAGAGGCTGAACTGGTTTATCTAGTCAGTTCTCCAGACTACTGCACAAAGAATCCCAAACTGGGGTCTCTGGGGACTCAGGACAGGTAAGGACCAGCTACAGATGCTGTAGCTTCCCTATGTTATAACTCTCCCTCTGATATAAGGGTCTCTCATTCTACCTCTGCAGTCCAACCTAGAAACAGTCTCTCTCTAAATCCCTTCTTGACTGAATGATGTAATCTCTGCTATAACACACACAACATGTCCCATTGCCAGCTTGATTGTGAGTGCATAGTGCTGTAATGGCAAGAGGTTCTGAAATCTCCCTGCATCAGCTTTAATAAACTCTCTAGCCCCTCTCTTATCACGCACGCCCTACCACAGGCAAACCTTGTAACCATGTAACTCACTGCAGACTTGAAGACAGTTTGAGGGAGGGGAGAGGATGCAAAAGGTGGAGAGAAGCCCCTTCTCATATGGTATGGTCTTACAAGGGGCCTCCCATGGTCTAGATTGGGCCCCAGCCATCTTCTTATTCTATCTGTTTCACTAGAGCTGATACTAAACCTTGAGTGTTTTGTGTGGAGAAAGAATTTGCCAGTTAGTTAGCTGGCAGACCTAGCAAGTTTGGGGATTCCCATGAAACCCGAGCAGCTTGTTTATCTCCCTTGGGTACAGGATGGTAGGTGCCCCCATATTCAGGATTCAGCTGTAAAGGCAATGGAGAGCCCAGTAGATTCAACTAGTCCATTCCTCAGCCCAGCCCTGCTGCCTGGCATATGAACCTGCTATTCCAGTGGGTCTCAAACTTGTGTACTGGTGACCCCTTTCACATAGCAAGCCTCTGAGTGCGACACCCCCCCCCCCCCATTAAATTAAAAACACTTCTTTGTATATTTAACACCATTATAATTCTGGAGGCAATGCAGGGTTTAGGGTGGAGGCTGACAGCTCATAGCCCCCCATGTAATTCCTTGTGACCCACCTGAGGGGTCCCAACCCCAATTTTGAGAACCCCTGTGCTATTCAGTAGGTGGAGTCAGAAGCATTTACCCACCCCACCCTGATGAGTCATGAGGATAATGGTCCTCCAGTCTAAACTCTTCCATAGTCCTTCCTGCATCAAACTGCTCATCATTCCAGTGTCCCTGAGGGAGAAACAGCCCCTCCCAAACTATTCTCTGGTGCCCATTATCGGCACCAGAGAATAGTTTGTCTTTCCCTGGAGGCTGAGCAAATCGCTTCCTAGACTGACCCATCTCAACTCCTATGCCATGACTAGCCCCTCGACACAGCTGTGCCATTACATCCCTAAAGCCCCTCAATGCTCTCATCTGCTTCCACTTTGGCAGGCAATGCAACAAGACCTCTGTGGGCAGTGACAGCTGCAACCTGATGTGCTGCGGGCGTGGCTACAATGCTTACACTGAGAGTGTAGTGGAGAGGTGCCAGTGCAAGTACTATTGGTGCTGCTATGTGATGTGCAAGAAGTGCCAGCGGACGGTGGAGAGATACGTGTGCAAGTAATGCAGGAGGCCCTGAAGCAGCCCATGCACTGAGAAAGCACTAAAGGACCTATGCTCCGAGACACTCCAGAGCATGTCTGGATATTTAATTCATCACAGGGGAAGCTGTGAGCTTTGGCTAGAAAAGGGGCCATGGTGGAAATCCTCATATTGGCATTACCCAGGGAAACACACTTTTTTGGGAAAAGACCAGGCCTGATGTCCTTAGCCTCACCCCTTCCAGAGCAAGAGAAACAGCTGCCTCCTGGGGCTGACCTGGTTTGTTCAAATTCTCAATCTCCAGCTGGGGACAAATAATGTATCACCCTGCATGCATGGATCTCTTTCTCCCCTGAGCTGCCAGCAGCCATTGTCTCCTTGTGGGAAGCTTCTGAAGGTGGCCTGAAAGCCAGGAGTGATGGATGGAAAAGGGTGTGGGGTGGGGAGAGACAAGAGTGAATTCAGGGGAAGAAAGAAGTGCTGCTCCTGAATAAGCATGCTGAGGAAACCATGGGCATGCACTTGTGGGGTGGCAAGCTGACCCAAGGCCACCAGATGCTCCAATTTCAAGACCGGTACATGTTCATTGTCTTCTGCAGCATTACACTTTCTCTCTAACATTAGGATCAGGCTTGGGTGTAGGCTGGAGAAAGACCTCTGCCACCCTCTCCACTATAAGTGAGATCCATTCCTCTGTCCTTTCATAGCAATGAGAGAAAGAGAGCGAGAGGCATTCTAATATCATAGTGATGGGCATGCTGTAAAAAACTGAGTCAAAGGAAAAGTCCATAGGGGATGTAGGTAGAAATAGTGGGATGGAAAGCGCTATTGAACTTCAACATTAACCAGAGGGGTCTTGGTAAGGACCAGGCCTGACGCTCCTGCCCCCAAGCTCACACCTGGTGAGGTGGAGAAGCCAGTAAATTGGGTGGCATGTTCTCATTCTCACATCCTTTTCTCCCCTCCTCTCTTGCTCCTCCACACCAAGGGTGGCAGCCTGTCTGCCTGCCCCTGTCTCTGAACCAGGCTCACTCACGAGTGCTGACAGTGAGTGCTGAGTACATTTGGCTCCAGGACCCCTTTGTAGGGTTTGGAGATGAGACTGAATTTTTTGATTTCTGCTTATTTATTTGGTGCCTTTTAAATAAATGTGTTCGTGTCTCTGCCAATGATGGCCCTAAGCCTCATGTGTTACCCAGGAAGGCTCCCCACTCAGTACCCCCCAGAACTGGGCTGGCCACAGAAGGGATGAGGCAATGCTGTCTCCCCTCTTTGCCTGGTAAAGGGACTGCAAAGCAGACATTCCGCATCCTTTCAGGAGATGAAATTGCAGAGGTGGCTTCATAGTTTAAGGGGATGTTTATTTTCATTTGAAGATGCTTTTTTCCCCTTCTCCTGTATCTCCTCTGGTACTGATTCCATACTATATTTGGCTGTTGTGGCCAGACACAGGTTTCCCTATATGCACATAACAAGCTTTGGAGTATTTTTCTGGGTTACTGCAGATCTAATCTCCCAGCAAAGCACCCCATCTTCTGGGATTTATTCCTAGTAGCAGAGAGCTTGAGTCTGGGGAAATGATCCCTGAGTTGTTTCTGATCTTTATAAATCATGGGTCAAACTGACCTCTGTGAGAGCTGGCAACTGGAGGAGAGGTCAAAAGTGAGAGTAACTTTCCAATGGACTGACTTTCTGTCTCCTCCCCCTGTTGTCTGTGGGTCACACTACAGCTAGTGCTGGCCCCAACAGCCTCAGTTCTCTCAGAACACACATCAAAGCCAAGATGAAAGCAGAGAGACACCAGCTGCGGCTTTCACAGATTCCTCTTCCTCTGACTGTAAGGGGAAGGATTTTTCTTTTTTCTAAAAGGCAATATGCTCAGACAGCTGTAGGGTGGGGCATGTTTGTAAACTTGATCAACATTCTAGGGCAAAGCTCTTGTGGCCCTGGGAGTCCGTGGCAGCTGCTGATACATTTATTGTTTTAAAAAGATTGTGGGTTTTTTAATTGAATTAAATATGGAAATGAATAATTCTATTGCTTCACTCTCTCATGTCATGGAATCCGTTCTAACACTTTACTGTATCCAGCCTCTAAATGTTAATATGCTGCAGGTTTTGTATTGATAATGAAGAGCTGCATCTCACCAGTTCTCAGCAGAGATCTGGAGGTAGTTTGAGATAAGCAGATGTGCTAGAAGTTAAAATGATCAGAGGTGAAATAGCTAACTGTTTACAATGGAATGCATATAATTAGAGTTCAGCTTAACGACTATTGTTTCAGACAATCTGCAGCCTCGGGCAGCTATCTCTGCATCAGCTACGCTTAGGCCCTATGTAAATAGTTTTCTTCACAGCTGTGAAGGTTAGAAAGTTAATTTTCTATTTTTAAACAAAAGCTCAAATCTGGAGCTGGTGTTTGTTCTCACATAACTTTATTCACAAAGAGAAGGGAGCTTTCAGCCCTGCTGGTTATAGAGGGCTTTCCACTGTGACTGAGGTGCTGGTTTTTTGCACCTGCAATCAGCAAGTATAGCCAGACCTACCCTCCTTTATTCTAGTGAGTTAATGTTGGTGCTTAATTAGTAACTTAAATGCCTCCACCATAACCACTTCATTGCTGAATAACTACCAGATCCAACCAGCAGAAGATATGGCCATGCCAGGCACACCATGAGCTGGAAATGCAGGTTAATAGTGTTAAGGAACTCGGTGGATACTAAATATTATGGAAGGGGGAGGAGCTATGAATCCCACTGAACATGGCAAAATGATTTAGTGATGCCAGAAATGTGAGTAGGAAATCACAGAAGGAGATAGCACACTAGATGTGAATCTCCAGTGGTCTGAGAAAAACCAGACTGTTGTGTGCTAAATCTGGAAAAGCATCATTTCTGGAGCAGTTAGAGGATCGTCCCCCTCTATCTGGCACTGGTGAGGCATCATTCCGTTCTGGGCCTCTCACCACCAGACCCATTGGCAAAAGCTCCAAGTAGAGCAACAATAACAATTGGGGGTTACAGGGACTGATTAATGAGCAGTGATTGAAAAGGTTAAAACTCTTATGGGCGAGGAACACAATACATGTGTAAAGGAATGAAGGGTGCAAACACTTTAAGGACTTATTTAGGGTGGTACAAGGGGATATAAGTAGGTGTCATGGGCTGAAGCTGAGCGGGAGTGTGTGAGAATGTGGGGGTGGGGGACAGACCCAGTGTCCAGTCCCCCAGCTCCAATGACTCTTCTTATTTAGCCATAGTGGAACAGTTTCAGCAAGAGAGGTTGAGGGAGCCCTGCATCACAATATCCCATAGCTCCCCTGAGAGGCAGGGGAGACCCCTGCTCAAAAATCTTTTCTCTGCCACTGGCAGAGAGGTAGGCTTGTCTGTTATAGCCCAGGTGAGTGCTCTACCCACTGGCCTACAAGTTATGAAGTGGGCACTGGCACTCCCACCACCTCCTCTGGCCAGATTTTGAATAGGACCTGATCTGGTAGACAGCCTCTGAGCACATCTGCTGGATTGGGTCTGATTTAGGCAAATGAACACCTCTCTTCCCCCAGTTCGTGAATCACTCTGGGGGTCAGGCAAGAAATAGATCTCCAGGTGCCTAGAATGAGACAGCAGTGTGGATGCCCAGAGACAGAAACTTGGGTGCCTACAGGTGCTTAAGCAGGTGTTTTGTAGACAGCCAAGTACCTTTGTGGATTGGGACCAGTGTTTAAAGAAAAAACTCTCCATCTCTGTTCTCCTTTATCCCATCACTTTTGAGGTGGACAGCAGCACCATGACACCCTGCTAAGATCATGCAACAAGAGGGATTGTCCCTGGGGATCTTCAGCTGAGCGATAGCGATGAGTCAACATAGATGAATAAGATAGAGAAGGGGTGCTAGGTCTCAGCCTGGAAGAACATCTTTTGTTCCAAAAGTAGGTAGAAGGGGCAGTTAGTGAAATGGCCTTGGGGAGGCTACCAGAAGACAAATACCCTTTGGGGCTAGGCATGAGTTAAGGAACACCACCTGTAGCAGGGCAGGAATCCATTCCTGATCTGAGTCCCCTGTCATAATTACAGGACTAGCTAAACCTCTGTCCTCTTTGTGCCTGTCTTTGAGTGTACTCACTTCAGTTGTATAGAACACCCCGTTCAGGTGCTGGGCCTCATGCCTTTATCTTTCTGGGGGTAGAATTCTGCAATTCTCCCACTTTTTGACTAGGCTGTAGGCTATCCTGTGTATCCCCCATGCTAACCTGACAGGTGCGTCTGGGTTCAGCACCTGCAGGTCTTCCCTTCAGGAGTCTGTGAACAGAGTGACCAAACAACCTTCTTAAACCAAAAGTGTTTTTATTTTAGCAATAGGAACAAAGCGTTGAGAGAAAAATGTAACTATCTTCAAGCACATGGCAACAACTTGCTCCTGGCCATAGTAAGAGTGGGCTATTTAGTGCCCTGGCTGGAGACCTGTCATGCCAGGAGCAAGGGCTTGGTGAATAATTATGCCATGAAAATGGCTTATGATAGTAAGGAAACAACCAACAGCTGGGACACCACCAGAAATAGTATCCACTGAGATGCTGGCTCATCTGATCGCTCTAGTGGACAAGACAGCTGGAGACTGCAAAGTGTCTGCAAGGCCAGTTCAAAGATGGGATAAAGAGGGAGGAACCAGCAGAATATACCCCTACAATCTGTAGCCTCAGGGGAAGTCTCTTTCCAGAGCTTATTGAATGTTGGTTAGGTTTACAACTTTCACTTGCTGCTCAGTTCACTGGGAGATGAATCCTGTCTGCTGCACTAAACTAGATTATAGGGTCTTGGCTTGAGGAGGGTTATAAGGGTCTGGAAGGAAAGGAAACCTCCTTTTCCAACCAAAGGCAGCTAGTCAGCTGCCACTGCAGCCTCAGGGCTGCGTGTCACCTTTCTTCCCCAATACGGGAATAGATAAAGGATCTGGGTAGTAGTGAATCCCTGGCCCTCATCCCTCCACTGATGGTAATCCCACAGAGCTAGAGAAGGTAGGTTTGTGTGTGTTGGGGTGGAATTCTCTTTTTACTAGAAATCCTTAAGCAGCCCATCATTTGCATAAAATAGAGCAGATTGTAACTTCTATTTGTTTACTCCTGCAGCTGGAGGCTCATCATAGTGTGAGCAAGAGCTTGGTGAATGATTACATATATGTGCAGGAGAACCATTTTTGCTTCTGCATACTATGTTCATTATTTAATATGAAGGGGCAGCCTGCAAAGACATGTCCCACTAGGCAATACTCAGTCACTATCCAAGCACCTAGGCTGCATTCTCGTACTGGTAGTCGTAACTGGCTGTGCCTATGTTGAATACAAAGGCAGATACAGGCCATATCCAGCCTAGAGCCCATACTTTGGCCGCCCCTGCTGTAAGTGGCTCTGTAAATCTAATCAAGAGTCCTAAAGAAGAGCTAGATGTAGCTTGAAAGCTTGTATCTCTCACCAACACAAGTTGGTCCAATAAAAGATATAGGGTTACCAGATAGCAACTGTGAAAAAACGGGACAGGGAGTGGGGGATAATAGGCGCCTATATAAGAAAAAGTTCCAAAAAACAGGACTGTCCCTTTAAAAATGGGACATCTGGTCACCCTAGATATTACCTCACCCACCTTGTCACTGAAAATCGAACTCATTTCAGACCTAGGAGGGCAGCAGGTGAAAACAGGAGCCATAGCTCACAGTAGGGGAAGGGCCTGGGCTCCTGACAATTCAACAGCACAGGTAAGAGCCTGCCCACACCACTGGGCGGATCTGCTTGGTCACTCTAGACAAGGCCTGGGGGGGCAGGGGCATAGTCTCAGCTTCCCATTATTTCCTTTCATCTCAATCTAGGATCCATTTGGCTAATGTTGATAATGCTCCTCTAGGCCTGTTTGACCCCACCCCAGATAATCTACAGTGAAACTGCTCACACACAATGTAAAGGGGTGGGGTGCTATGCCTGACCATCAGCACATTTGCAATTAGCCAGAGAGCACCACTTCAAAGAGGGAGCATCAGATCTGGTGAGCAGTTACTGAGCCTGATAAGAGAACAGGCACTTCATGGGATTTCCTTTAGTTCTGGGCAAGGGATTTATTCTTGAAGGAGCTGGCAAATTCCAGTTAACAGACAAAGCAAGGCCATCCATAGGAAAGATGGAAGTGGCCTTCATCTTCTCTTCCCTGTTTCTAAATGGAGCAGGGCCCCTTACCCTCCTCCCGAAGGCTTCAACTCTGCAGGGTGGTGGGCATCCAGCTTCCTTCAACTCCCCCATACATTGTTGTTGTCCTTGCAGAATCATAGAAGATTAGGGTTGGAAGAGACCTCAGGAGGTCATCCAGTCCAACCCCCTGCTCAAAGCAGGACCAATCCCCAACTAAAGCATCCTAGCCAGAGTTTTATCAAGCTGGGCCTTAAAAATCTTTCCACCTCCCTAGGTAACCCATTCCAGTGCTTCACTACCCTCCTAGTGAAATAGTTTTTCCTATTATCCAACTGCAAAATAATTCAGTTGCTACATGCCAATAATTGCATCTTTAGGGCAGGTTCTGTCATGCTGCTTTGTTCAGACTCTGTGCTAATTTTTAAACAAGACTTGCCCGTAGTGACATTCACTCCATAAACACCTTCTGAAGGGTCCCTGGATTCACGGGCAGGGGCAAGGGCAGGTTTGCTCCTACCATGCAGACATACATACATTTGGGGGTGGGGAGAGTTGTTTCACAGGCCTGGAAATCCTGCTAAATTGAGAACAGCTGAGGCTTCCTCATTGGGGGAAGGGGGAAAGAAAAGAGCTCTGCCTTTCCAGGTGGAAGAAATTAAGGGCTCGACTCTTGTTAATACCAAACATATGCCTCTCTGGTTTAGCTGATCTAGGACAATAAAATGACAGGGTCCTCATTACTGAGCTAACCTTCGTACTCAGAACTCTAATAGGCTGGAGGAGCTGTTTAAGACAGGAAAACAGATGACCCTATGAGAAGGGAAAGAGCAGCTCCCTGCCTCCATCTCCCCACCCCAAGCCAA